CAGTTTAAGCCTGTATGAGTTCCATGTCAATCCACAGATGACCAGTCATCAGGAATCAAATATCTTAACCAGAATATCAAAGAGAGAAAATCAAGGGCTATTTTTCCCAAGATTATTTTTTTTCCTAAGGTTTTAAACTATTTTTGTTTCCTCAAGGAGTTCAAGAGTATTGTGGTTTACCTAGAATAATTAGAAATCATTAAGTCAAACTTGATAATGGAAACCTCAGCTCAGCCTTCGTTTCCTAGAACCCTTCCCATCCAAGATTTATAGACTGAACAATGCTCCCTATTATCTCTGCTGGCTGACATCTTTCTTAGTGCTTTTCAATTTATATCAAATAAAAATAATCTGTTGTCTCTTATCCTAAAATAAAAACAATCTGTCTCTTATCCCCACTAGACCAATATATATATTGGGTTGGCCAAAAAGTTTAGTTGTTCAGGTTGTTCCATAACATCTTATAGAAAAACCAAATGAGCTTCTTGGCCTACCTAACATATATATATATATATATGCATATATACATGTAGATACTAGTCATCTTTGTATCTGGCACTTAGTAGGCATTACAACTTACTGAATGAATAAATCAATGGCTAATTATTCTTTTAACAGAGACAAAAGGGATCTCTTATATAGCAAGATTCTTTTACATAAAGTTCATTTCAAAATATATGGTTTCTAGGAAAATCATATCTTTAATAAAATGAAGTTAAAAATTTAGACTTATATAAATTATAAACTATATAATCAGGTTACTTGGTAAAGCACAACTATTATGACTACAACGATTATGATTAAGTCTGAGAGGTTGGAAGTTAAGTATTAATAATATATTATTCCTTGAATTGGTCACATTTATGGAATGTATTCGATTCACCTGATTCAACTGGAGGAAGAAAATATTTATAGTATAACTTCCTTTCAGTTACAAGCAAATTACAGTTGCATATGTGTCACACTTATCTCAAGCAGTAAATTTTTTTCTTTTTTTATTGAAAGTATTCTCAACTTCTGAGCTTCCCTTTTTGACATCAGATGTTGTAAAAGATGCTAACAGATTCATATAGAATTATCAACTATTAGACCTGAGTCCTTAGAAATACATACTTCAAAATTATATTGAAGTCGTAGACTAAAATCCTAACTCATTAGCGTCTTGAGGTCGATTCACATAAAAAAAAAGAACACTTTTTTCCTTATTCAAGTAAACATGATTTTAAAAACAATGCTTCTTGTGGTTATGATATGAAATACGACTTCATATTCATATTGTGTATTCTGTTCCTCTTCGAGCATACTGAGGAATGTTAATGTAATTTCTTTGTGGCCACTGAAGGAAAATAAAAAGTCCTTATCTGTAAAACTTTCTTTTAACAACGATGACAACAACAATAGCAACAGGAAACCCTTATCACAAGCTGTTTGCACACAGATGAGATTATATTGCAATTAGCCACGTCTATCTGACGAAGTTTTCTAAGGGAAATTGTGCAGAGCATTTTATTTCAAGCTTCAAAGATTTTGCTAAAAGAAGGGGAACTGCAGTTTTTGCCACAGAAAGACAGGTGGCGTAAGCATGCAATTTTTTTTTTTTTTTTTTTAAATCTATAAAGTGATTATTTTCTCTCGGGTTCTTTGAAAAAGCTCGCCCGGGCTCCGGTTTGTGGCTGAGCGGGTGACGTCATGTGGCAGTGCGGAGTCAGGCGCGGCGGCTCTCTATAAGCCGAGGAGCTGTCCGGGTGCTGAAACGGTCCCAGCAGCTCAAGCCGCGGACCTGGAGGAATATGCTGCGGACTTCCTCTGCCATATAAATAAGAGGTGAGACTGCTTTTCCCTTCTACTTACTGGAAAGTTCTAAATTGCGTCTTCTCTCCTTAATTCCCAGCTAAGAAGAAAGAGACCATTTGGCAAGCTTATTTCTTTAGAATAACTGAACGGCAACCTGCTGCTCATCTGGCAACCTAAGGACACTGTATATATGTACATATATATGCATGCTTGCATCTGTGATTTACACTGCTTGCTGTCAGGTATTTATTAACCGTTGTGTTATTTAGATAATCATATATAAGAACATGAAAAAGTTAAGGATATTTGTGTCAATACACATTATTAATGTAAAGTTAACCAAGCCTGACATTTTGTTTCTTTCCTTAGTTTTGTGTTTCTTCCCCTAAGGGCCAGATACAAGGGCAGGGATACAATTTATATACTTAATATTCTTAACAGTAGGTGTCTGATGATTCAAAGGCTGTTAAACATGTTCATGATAGATGCAACCAATTTTGGAGCTAGGTTAGTTAGTTAGTTTGTTTTTTTCTTTGACATTTACTTTGCAAGATCTCAAATTTAACTAACTGTATAAAATTGTTTTCTCAACTGGTATACTCTGAAAGGGCTTACATTATTGTTTACTAATTCTGGTCCTAGCAAAGTAAGACTAGAATGAGCTTCTTCGTTTATTCAGGGGGAAATATTATCTTGGTTTCTAGCTTGGATATGACCATGGATTACAAAGAGATAACTGAAATGTATGAGGAAACACTTATAACCATATAAATTATTTATTATTATGCTTTGGTTGAAAGAGGTTGTACAATATTTTGCTAAATATTTTGAATGGGACAAGTGTTTTTTTTTCCTGTATCTTAACTAATTGAATTGCTCAAATTTGATACATCCGGTTGCATTTGTCAATGCTCTAGTATAATTGCAATAGAAAAGACATTTTCACTGATGAGGTTTTTTGGTTTAAACTCTACATAGAACATCAGAACTGTTAAAACCACCTTCACTATTTAGATGAGCTGCTACCAGCTCATCTAAAAAAATCCCTTAAAAAAAAAAATCCCTTGAGCCTTAGTCAAAGGCAATAACTATGTCACCCAAACTGAATCTGAGTAAATGATCAAATGGTAGCTCTTGTTAGGCCTGTGGTTTAAATAGCTGCATTGAATATTCTTCCCCAACACCACAGCAAAGTTCACCTACAAAATAATGATTTTAAAGATCAGCACATAACCTAGCATATAACTGGGTTAAGGATACTTCAGGGTAATGGTTTCAAAGAAAATAAGTTCACTAAGATTCTTAAAATTGCTAGTCCAAATGGCAATGTGGAAAATTGATTTTCAAATCTAAACTAATCCTGAAAAAATATAAAGAAGAATGCATAGTGTACTTTTATTTAAGCCTAGTAAGTCATGAATACAATTTCCTCTAGTAAACATTGATTCATAGTAAGTATTTTAGAAATTTTCTCTGACATGCCTTTAAAGATTTTACTTTCAGTAAATTAAGTAGCTAAATTAATGTAAATAAGTGCATATTTTAATAATTAATTTTAATAATCATTTAAATAAATTGTACTAAAGAAATTTCTGTAAGTACAACAGTTTTAGATTCTAAAAACTGAAAATATTACTTAAATACCAATATGATCTAGTGAACAATGATATTTTATGCAATTGATGTCTAAGCTAACAGATAATGATATCCAACAACTTAACTTATACATCACAAAACCATAATTCAGTTAAGAGCAAACTTATAAAATTCCTTTACTTTATTTGTAACAAAATTGCACATATTAAAATAGATTTCAATGTTAGCAATGCCAAATGTAAAACATGTAAAAACCAATCCTCTTGGTAATTTATACAAGTGACTATAAGGCCTTGAAGAAAAAGAATGAATGAAAAATTTTAAGTGGAAGAATTCAACACACTGTATGCATTTTTCTAAGTTGGGAATTACATAGTGATTATTTTAAAATTTTCTAACAGAATGAGTCATTTGAGATTTCATAGGTCCACACCCAAATAGACACAGACCTAAGTCAAGCTGAATCTGAACACTTACAAGTTCAGAAATAGACTGGTTCAGAAAACTTATGTTCTCTCTGTAGCATCTGTTATTATTTACTATATCTCTTGAGGGCTGAGGAAAAATATAATCATGATTGCATTTTATAAGACAGTCAGTAAAATTATTAGAAGAAATATGGAGCACAGATGTTTTAAAACAGTTTATATTTTGGTACATTGGTACATTTACATTTAAATAAATATCACTGGATATCATGGATTTTTTTTTCAGTTCTGGCTATTGTGCTTGTGTATCCTGATAGTACCATGTGTACTATTACATGTCAATCGGGATGAATGATTATAAAATACCAGACTTCTAAATTCAATATTTTGGAATTCATTGAGTAAATAAATACTGCATTGGGGATATTAAAAAGAAAAAACTTTGTTAAGTTTGCCTCCTAGCTTGGACTTGAGAAGACCCATATTCTGGAGATCATTAAGGTACAGACCTTCAAAAATTAATGATATAATTTGGTATCAGACTAAAGGACAAGTTATTTCTGCAAATATATATGAATGAGACTCATGCACAGGAGAATTCAGTATGATTAACATTAACATGGAATATCACTTCATCTTATATAGTAATGTTGTGTTTCTACAACAAATTAGATGGACAAGTCAGGAATTAAACCACATGGTTTATGATAAGGATATGACTCTGTGTGTATGTCCATGCATGTTTTAAATTGAGCCATCTAATTTTTCTGCCAGTGATTTCAATATAAATGCTGTACAAATAACTAAAACTCATCTTGGAAAATCTTTATTTAACAGAAATAATGCATACTAAAACAAAACATGTCTTATAAGTTAAAAAATCATACTTGAGAAACCTCATATCAATGTTTTTGCTATTATTTTAACCAAAAAAAATATGCCATACAAATTTGATGCAAAATGGGTAACAATTTTGCTAAAGATTCCTGTGGTTAGTTTGTGAGGATTGTATATGAAACATTTATAGTTTTCAAAAAGAATCATCCTAAATTAATGTAGAGTAATCTCTACTATGTTCTTTTCCCCCCTCAATGGTTAATTACTTTTTTTGCTCTAGAGTCTACTAGTCAGTTTCACTTGTGTTAACTCATGTTTTCTATGCTTTAAGGAAATCTTTCAAACATGGCAGAAGCTAAGACTCGCTGGCTTGGAGCAGTCCTGTCTCTCATCCCTTTAATTTTCCTCCTCTCTGAAGCTGAAGCTGCTTCATTTCAGAGAAACCAGCTGCTTCAGAAGGAACCAGATCTCAGATTGGAAAATGTCCAAAGGTTTCCCAGTCCTGAAATGATCAGGGCTTTGGAGTACATAGAAAAGCTCCGACAACAAGCTCACAAAGAAGAAAGCAGCCCAGACTACAATCCCTACCAAGGTGTTTCTCTTCCCCTTCAGCAAAAAGAAAACGGTGACTTGCCAGAAAGTTCGAGGGATTCCCTGAGTGAAGATGAATGGATGAAGATAATAGCTGAAGCTTTGAGACAGGCTGAAAATGAGCCCCAGTCTGCCCCAAAGGAAAACAGGCCTTATACTTTGAATTCAGAAAAGAACTTTCCAATGGACATGCCTGATGATTATGAAACTCAACAGTGGGCAGAGAGAAAGCTCAAGCACATGAGATTCCCTCCTATGTATGAAGAGAATTCCAGGGACAACCCCTTCAAACGCACAAATGAAATAGTGGAGGAACAATATACTCCTCAAAATCTTGCTACATTGGAATCTGTCTTCCAAGAGCTGGGGAAACTGACAGGACCAAACAATCAGAAGCGTGAGAGGGCTGATGAGGAGCAAAAACTTTACACAGATGATGAAGATGATATCTACAAGGCTAATAACATTGCCTATGAAGACGTGGTTGGGGGAGAAGACTGGAACCCAGTAGAGGAAAAAATAGAGAGTCAAACTCAGGAAGAGGCAAGAGACAGCAAAGAGAATGCAGACAAAACTGAGCAAATCAATGACGAAATGAAGCGTTCCGGGCAGCTGGGCCTCCAAGATGAAGATCTCCGGAAAGAGAGTAAAGACCAACTCTCAGATGATGTCTCCAAAGTAATTGCCTATCTGAAAAGGTTAGTGAATGCTGCGGGAAGTGGGAGGTCCCAGAATGGGCAAACTGGGGAAAGAGCAACCAGGCTCTTTGAGAAACCACTTGATCCTCAATCTATTTATCAGCTGATTGAAATCTCAAGGAATTTACAGATACCCCCTGAAGACTTAATTGACATGCTCAAAACTGGAGAGAAGCCAGTGGAACCAGAGCAGGAGCTTGAGATTCCTGTTGAACCTGAAGACATCTCAGAGGCTGACTTAGACCATCCAGATCTGTTCCAAAATAAGATGCTCTCCAAGAATGGCTACCCCAAAACACCTGGTCGTCCTGTGGCAGAGGCCCTACCGGATGGGCTCAGTGTGGAGGACATTCTAAATCTTTTAGGGATGGAGAGTGCTGGAAATCCAAAGCCTCCATATTTTCCCAATCAGTATAACCGAGAGAAAGTTCTGTCAAGACTGCCCTATGGTCCTGGAAGATCTAAAGCTAACCAGCTCCCCAAAGCTGTCTGGATGCCAGATGTTGAAAACAGACAGATGGCATATGAGAATCTGAATGACAAGGATCAAGAATTAGGAGAGTACTTGGCCAGGATGCTGGTTAAATACCCTGAGATCATGAATGCCAACCCCGTGAAGCGAGTTCCCAGTCAAGGCTCAACTGAAGATGATCGACAGGATGAGAACCAAATTGAGCAGGCACTCAAAGAGCATTTGAGTCAACACAGCTCTCAGGAGACTGATAAACTGGCCTCGGTAAGCAAAAGGCTCCCGGTAGGGACCCCGAAGAGTGACGATACTCTCAATAGACCGTACCTGGATGAAGATCTGTTAGTGAAAGTGCTGGAATACCTCAACCAAGAAAAGGCAGAAAAGGGAAGGGAGCACATTGCCAAGAGAGCAATGGAAAATATGTAAGCAGCTTTCATTGATCGCCCTATTTTCACCCCTCCCACCCCAAGCAAACCCCAATATTTCTCTTTAGTGTGTTGACTTCTCTCTTGTTAACACTGTAATACCTTTAAATGCTGTATAGGCAGATGATTCCATTTCACTGGAGCGTCTGCTTCACTTACTCTGAACTGTTCTCTTGTGTATGGGTATGTGTAAATGTTATGATTTCTGAATAAAAATATTAATCATAGCCCTAATTCAAGAAAGATATCTATGATAGTGTTTAATAGTGTATCTAATAGCTGTGGCATTGTTGATGCTCACCTATGATAAAGAGTGTCCTATAAGTCCCTTGAAAGTTTTTAATATTTACTGAATTATTTTGTTACTGTCTGTAGTGTTTTGTGGAGTACTGGAGCAAAAAAAATAAAGCATTATAAATATATATAGTTTTACTTATAAGGCCTTTTCTATTGTGTGTTTTATTGTTGCTTAATAAATGTTATTTCTGGACAACTGTGGGTTATTCATTCTGGAAATCCAGAGGCAATGGATGTGGATCAAGCAGTATGGAGCTAAAAGAGAAAATTATTTCCTTCCACAGTCAATCCAGGTAAGAAACAATGAATGGAAATACATGATCACATTATACATTTGTAGAATGCAATATCCTCTAAGCTCACTACCTAGAGCTTGCCTTTAGTTTTTTGTGTGATTATGGAATAATTTATATTTAAACCTTTTACCCTTGACTTTTGTAAATAAAAACATTTAAGTCTTCCATAACCAGCACTGAAAAAGAAGAGATGGGTATAGGGCACTTGGAAACAACTAGATTTGGAAGCAATCTACCTATTTTCAGGTTACCCTGCTTCCCAGAAGATAAAACTGCTACGCTTTTATATGGTGTGAGAGGGGCCAGAGGACCCCCAGACTGAGTGTTAGGTAAGTCAACGGCACAGGCTTAATTGCCCCCTCTCTGGTCCATGGGCTGGAGAGAATCCTGAGTGGGCAAGGCTGTAGAGAATTGTTATAATGTGCATCACTTCAGGGGTTGATGCTATCAGCACCCTGACATATCAACAGGGAATCAACAACAGCAGCAGCGAGAAAATGTACAGAGCAACAGAACAACAGTGCTCATAAAAAACCAAGGCAATAAATCATAGTTATCATTTACTGAATATTTATTGTGCACTGGGCACAAGACTAAACACTTTACCCCATTCAATCTGTGCTGTATCACTGTCAAGGGCCTCTTATTATCCCCTTTTACATCAGAAAAAGCAAAACTCAGAAAGGTTAAATAATTGCCCCCAGTGTCATGAGTTGCCAAAGCCTGTGTTCCTAACCTAACTCCACCTTCCTAACTCCACCTAACTCCACTGCCTCTCTGGGGAGGGTCTTTCAGCTGATGGTTGGGGCATTGGTGGTGGGGTGGTGAGAGGCTTATGTGTCTCAGTGTGGGTTATTTCCATGAGAGGGCATCTGTGTGTGTGTGTGTGTGTGTGTGTGAGGGAGGGAGGGAGTGGTGGTTTAGTCACTATGTCATGTCCGACTCTTCGTGACCCCATTGACTGTAGCCCGCCAGGCTCCTCTGTCCATGGGATTTCCAGGCAAGAATACTGGAGTGGGTTGCCATTTCCTTCTCCAGGGGATCTTTCCGACCCAGGGGCCAAACCTTGCCTCCTGCATTGCAGACAGATTCTTTACCATCTGAGCTATGAGGGAGGGAGGGTGGAGGGGAAATCCTTGAATGGTCAAAACACACTAAGAGGGTCCTGCCTGCCTTTGGAAAAACACTGAACCTCCATTTTCCTGTGTTATAACTTTGCCCAGACTCTTTTCTGTCCAATTATCATATGCTCTCAATAAATTCTAGAATCTATAAATGGAAGAGAGCTTAGAGGTGAATAGTCTCTACAGTGTTTCTAATAAGTGCTTCTTACTCAAATACCTCACAGGTAAATACTATGAACTGAAGATTATTCAGAGATCTAGGATATTTGTGGGGCTTCAAGTCTAAGTGCATATTTATACACCATGCTTTGCAGATGTCCACATATGTCATCTGCCCATTAAACATTCTCTTCAATTTTCTGTTTCAATCAGCCAGCCACTCCTAGTGCCCTAAATCAACAATCTTTCCATGGTCGCCCTGAGCAGAAATGCGACCTTGGCACCTGTCTCCACCCAACAGAAACTTGCCCTCCGTGTGGTGTGTGAATATTCTATGGGGAGGTTAGAAGATTAGAGCAAGTTAACTCACATGACACAGATGATGAGATGCTGGGCTGGGGTTTACACACAAATCAGTGGGATGCCAAATCCTGCATTCATTCTGTGGTACATGTTGCTTTTTGCTCTGTCTCAGTTATGCTTGAGATTCCCTGATTCCCTAACAGTGACATTTCTGGCACCATGATGGGCAGTTGGGGAGATATTTTAATTTGAGATATATATACTCTGTGTGACTTCTCTCAGACACAAGTCAGCAAGCATCTTTGCCCTTTTGCAGCATCACCATATTCCCCAGCTATTGAGTCATCAGATATATTTATTTCTGATCCTAAGATATTTTTTCATAAGTGTTTCAGTACACTGCTTACTAGCATAAGATATTAAGCTCTAAGTATATTTCAAGGAGGTGGATGACAAACGAATTGAGATTAGGGCAACATTGCCCTTTTTCCTGCCCTGAAGCCTCTTTCAGCAGAAGTCGGGAAGTAGCTCGCGCCCTCCTCACCAGTGCCCTCTGCAGGCCACTGCTGGAAGAGCGCACTATGACTGCACCGCTTTGTAGGAGTCCGTGTCTCCATCAGGAGTCAGATGGCCCAGAAATCTGTATACTTTTGTCAAGACCACCATCTACCAAGGCTTCGCTCCCCTCAACACTCACAGCCTCTCGAACCTACCCATTTTGGGGACAGTTAAGACAAACTACCCTGGAGGAGGGCATGGGTGGGCATGACAGCCCACCCCAGTATCCTTGCCTAGAGAATCCTTTGGACACAGGAGCCTGGGGGGGCTACAGTTCATAGGGTCGCAAAGAGGCAGACACGACTGAAGTGACTGAGCATGCGTGCACGCACTCAAGACAAAACTGATGGTGCCCTTTATACACGATTTCCAAGTCACCCCTTATTTCAGTTCAGTTCAGTTCAGTCGCTCAGTCGTGTCCGACTCTGCAACACCATGAACCACAGCACCAGGCCTCCCTGTCCATCATCAACTCCCAGAGTTCAGCCAAACTCATGTCCACTGAGTCGGTGATACCATCAACCATCTCATCCTCTGTCGTCCCCTTCTCCTCCTGCCTTCAATCTTTCCCAGCATCAGGGTCTTTTGAAATGAGTCAGCTCTTTGCATCAGGTGGCCAAAGTATTGGAGTTCAGCTTCAACATCAGTCCTTCCAATGAACACCCAGACTGATCTCCTTTAGGATGGACTGGCTGGATCTCCTTGCAGTCCAAGGGACCCTCAAGAGACTTCTCCAACACCACAGTTCAAAAGCTCCAATTCTTCAGTGCTCAGCTTTCTTTATAGTCCAACTCTCACATTATACATGACCACTGGAAAAACCATAGCCTTGACTAGATGGACCTTTGTTGACAAAGTAATGTCTCTGCTTCTTAATATGCTATCTAGGTTGGTCATAACTTTCCTTCAGGGAGTAAGCATCTTTTAATTTCATGGCTGCAATCACCATCTGCAGTGATTTTGGAGCCCTAAAAAATAGTCAGCCACTGTTTCCACTGTTTCCCCATCTATTTGCCATGAAGTGATGAGACCGGATGCCATGATCTTAGTTTTCTGAATGTTGAGTTTTAAGCCATCTTTTTCGCTCTCCTCTTTCACTTTCATCAAGAGGCTCTTTAGTTCTTCTTCCCTTTCTGCCATAAGGATGGTGTCATCTGCATATCTGAGGTTATTGATATTTCTCCCAGCAATCTTGATCTTTCTTATCTCTCCTTACTATTCTTTGGAACTCTGCATTCAAATGGGAATATCTTTCCTTTTCTCCTTTGCTTTTCGCTTCTCTTCTTTTCACAGCTATTTGTAAGGTCTCCTCAGACAGCCATTTTGCTTTTTTGCATTTCTTTTTCTCGGGGATGGTCTTGCTCCCTGTCTCCTGTACAATGTCATGAATCTCCATCCATAGTTCCTCAGGTACTCTGTCTATCAGATCTAGTCCCTTAAATCTATTTCTCACGTCTGCTGTATATCATAAGGGATTTGATTTAGGTCATACCTGAATGGTCTAGTGGTTTTTTCCACTTTCTTCAATTTAAGTATGAATTTGGCAATAAGGAGTTCATGATCTGAGCCATAGTCAGCTCCTGGTATTGTTTTTGCTGACTGTATAGAGCTTCTCAATCTTTTGCTGCAAAGAATATAATCAATCTGATTTTGATGTTGACTGTCTGGTGATGTCCATGTGTAGAGTTTTCTCTTGTGTTATTGGAAGAGGATGTTTGCAATGACCAGTGCGTTCTCTTGGCAAAACTCTATTAGCCTTTGCCCTACTTCATTCTGTACTCCAAGGCCAAATTTGCTTGTTACTCCAGGTGTTTCTTGACTTCCTACTTTTGCATTCCAGTCCCCTATGATGAAAAGGACATCTTTTTGAATGTTAGTCCTAAAAGGTCTTGTAAGTCTTCATAGGACCGTTCAACTTCAAATATCCCCTGAACTTTGTATGTCACTTCTTTGGACCCAATTCCTACTCCTTCCTATATCCTGTATCTTTTTTCATTTGTTCTTTGATACTCAAGGTTGGTCAGCAACAAATCCCCTGCATCCTCAAACTCTTTTGTAAATGCTCTTTTTAACCTTTCTCTGAGGAAATCCTGCCTCTCCTTTGAGATTCCTCTTGCCCTGAGACTCTCTTTCTTGGTCCTCTTTGCTGTCTTTCTCTCTTCCATAAAAGCATCCAATTTCATGTCCCATGTCATCACTTACTCAGCTTCTACCCCTCCATGTTGCAGACATCTATTGCCCCACATCATTTACCCTCATCCACT